CGGTTTATTTATAAAATACATATCTTTAAATAACATATAGAAATATTAGAGGTACAATTACATTTTGAGGTGACCTCAAAATAAAATGAGAAAACTCTTAATTTAGAACCTCATCTTTAATTTGTTGTATCACATGGTCTTAACACAATATTTTCAAAATAATAAAGCACATGCATTAACACTGCTCTCACTACATTATTAAAACTAATATATTTTATGTTAATTAGTTCGACTTAGTCATTCATAATATATACATATTTCAAAACATGTACAATATTCAAATTTTATTTGTCAATTAAAAATAATTAAGTTATAAAAAATATCTGCCTAAAAAGCGTGAAATATATGCAATTGTTTCATGACTTCAATATTAGAACAGAAACAGAATTGATTTTTATTGCAATTATAATTAACTTAAAATCCCAACATGGCTATGAAAAATTACTGTTTCTTTTAAATTATCCTTGAAAAAGGGCTTACTAATTTGATTAAACATTTTGAAAATCTAATGTGTTCAATAAGAACAAAACAGATTTGTACCATTAAAAGTTTGCATTGGTTTTAAATTTAAGTTGTTAATAATACGTTCTATTGCATCTAAGGTTGCTCCTAACATTCACCATGTTCTAATTTTGATTTGTGTAGTGAATGCTAATGCACTTAATATAATTCCAAGGTTGTGTATTTACACAACTAATGAAACAGTAAAGCTGCATACTTTTGGGATACATGCTTCCAAATAATTTTCTGATGAGGTGCACATACATGTAATAATAATAATATTATAATAATAATATAATAACTTAAAGATCACTGGGAGTCATCACACCACCTTCCAGCCCAGTCTCACAGTCTGCTGGAAATCTAGTATGGTTTTAAACTCCTCACCTTATGAAGAAGGTGCTGGCTGCACAGCCGAAAACATTACTCTCACTGAACCAGCAAGGAAATATTCAGATGGCACTTCCCCATTGTGAAGTGAAGAATGGGCAGAGGTCCTGGGGATACTACCCTGATCTGGAGGCGTGAGTCAGAAGTGCTGAGAAGCAGGTTCACCCTGTGATCCCTGAAAATACTGCAATGCTCTTGTCTAATTCCATCAGAGCATGAGGTTGTCTCTGACCAAAAAATCTCCAGGGCCAATTAGGCCCAAGTGCCTTTTCCTTACTCTATCATTCACGTATGACCTTCCCAACGAAACAGGCGGTAAATTGCCATCACATTTAATTCAGAAAATTCAACGAGAAATGACCTTCACATAATTGAATTTGGTATCTAGAGGAGAATGAAGTGTTTCCTCTAAGAATTTCCCCTCAATCATCTGTAAAGCTCAGCAAAGCAGTGTGAAAACAATTTTCTGTGATCCAGCAAACCAACCAACCACAAAACATCTGTTTTTATTGCTTCCTTCTCAAATTGGAAATGGTGACAGCTGCTACATTCTAATTGGCTATTTCATGAAACTATTCAACTATTGATTGACCTGTTTAACTTTCATATTGCATTATTAAAAAGAACACATTTTTCTTGGAAACGCAAAATCAATTTTGGTAACTTCAAGGTTGAATTATGGGCGGCAAACAGAAATACTCGAAGTTGGCCTCTAAGCTATAATTTAGAAAAAGGGGGAAATAAACCTTGGCTTCAGACAGAACTGAAATGAACCAAAACTACAGTATAAGAAATGTGCTGGAAAGGCGTTACCTTTCAGCCACTCTGAGTCACGGCGATGCCAAAACCACTTGCAGTTTCTTCCCTGAAGCCTTTCTGCCTGCTAGTCCTGCCCTACTAGGTTACAGCCTGTCCTTCTGCACTAGAGAGCCACACGGGTGGCCGGCTCTCCCAGCAGTAAACCTCATCCTTAGGGAGTATTTTAAATTATGTAGAGATTCTGAAGCAGTACAAGCCAAGGTAGTCCTGAGATGTGCAGGGAGAATGAAAAGACAACATTTAATTGGGCCAAAAGTGTAACAGTTACAGGAGCAGACTTGACAAAGTTCATGAAAAAACAAAATTCAAGTATGAGTTTATTTAGGTGCAAAAATACTTTGAAATCCAAACATAGTTTTTTTCATAGTATGCTTTTTCAGTAAATTACTGAAGACCCATTCTCATAATAATGGACACAGAATGTGATGAGATGGGGTTGACAAAAGGTATAATGTGGTTACTAGAACACCGAGGGGAGCAGGGCAGGCCTGGTACCCTAGTGGTGAAGGGCGCTGAATCGCACATGGCATACCAGCCAGATCCTGGCTCCGGCAGTTTGAAAAACACACCTAGTGCATGTGCGTGTATGCCCAGATGGGAGAGAGGAATGGAGGCAAAAGGATCACAGCATCTTTCTCTCTGGCGAACGCACGCACCCTCTGGCAATTCAGTACAAAGAGTTAAGCAAAGGTGGTTGCAGAACATCAGTTGGGTCTAGCAGTTGGGTCCATCTCAGACACCCCTATTTGCTCGAAACCCTAAGCCTACTAGAAACACTGCCAGGGAAGGCACAGTCCCTCAAACCTCCCCCCACAGAGTAGCCTGATCTGGAGGGAGCAGGAGGAGGCCCCCCGACCTTCACTCGCCAGACTCTCATACTAGGCCTTTGGACTCATATGGGACAGACATGCCAGGGAGTATGTAGAACAGTGACGCATAATGAAGAGTGAAGGGAATCTAGGCTGGTGTTCCAAGCGGGGCATTTTAAGCAAGAACCAGAAGAGATCAGTAACATGGCATCTCTGTGGGTGTCAGAACCAGGTCTTTCACTTTGCAGCAGTCCGTGCCTTTGCTTGAGTTGCGTTCTGCTCTCAGAGAGGCATACTTTTCTGGGAGGTTCTGTGGGGTTCATGGTCCTGGCCATGTAAAAGTGTGCTGTAGTGGGGAGCCTCTGTAGGCTTTGCCGGGAGAAAGCTGGAAAATCTGGGGGCTGTGACTAAGCAACCGGTATTCTGACTACAGGGGACACATCCTGTGTGACCTAAAAAGCAGCTTTCCTCTCGTCTTCTGTCCCCTGCTGTCCTGTTAAACCTGCCCAATAGGAACAATCCTTCAGCTCAGTCCCTCTCACTTTTCTTCTATTTGGGTAAGTAAAACATATTTTATTGCTGTTGTGAAAATAAACTGAAAACCAATCAAATTAGAGTTAAAGGCAAGGAGGGCCAGTTCCATAGCCCAGTGGTAAGGGAGTCAGATCCCACATGGCTGACCCCAGTGGCTTGATAAACACAGTTGTTCATGTGTGTGTGTGCTCCGAATACTGACAGGAGGCAGAGATGAAGAGAGGATTGCAGTGTGACCACACCCTACTCAGGGGTGTTTTTTTTTTAATCTCTGTTTGGTTAGCGCATGTGCCTTCTGGCACTTAACAAATTAAGAAAGGGAAAAGATAAGTTGGTGATTCGACCATTCAGTTTCCAATGAGTTGACTATTTTCAAAATTGACCTGCTACAGTTATTCACTGTATAATGACATTTAGGTCATAAGAAACTGCATATATAAGATTATAGTGGAGTTAAAAATTCCTGTTGCCTAGTGACATCATTGTCTTATTTTATTGTTTTTTTTTTTTGTTTGTTTGTTTGTTTGTTTTGCCAGACAGCACATGTGCTTGCCAGAAAGAGAGAAGAAAAATGAGAAATCACCCCCCGGCGGGGATGGTTCACCACAATCCCTTCTTCTCCATTCTCCTCTGGGGATCTTGGGCACACACACACTTGATCCAGCATGATTTTCAAGCCACTGGGTCCAGGACTCAAACCACAGTTGGCATACGGGAGTCCCCCGCCTTAACCACCACGCCAAATGCTGGCCTGACAGCACAGCCTCATAATGTCACAGTGCAGTGTATTACTCAGTGTCTAGGCACATCAGTTGTATCAAAGTATAGCTTATACGATTATCTACAGTACATGAAATGTGAGAACGACAATAAGCGCCTATGGTACCACTTTATGGATCCACTATATGATACTTTTTATCCCTATTTTAGAATGCACTCCTATATATTAAAAAAAATTGACTGTAGAACAGTATGCCACATTAGGCTGGAAGCAGTCTCACTGTCCTGTTTAGAGCATCTCTTTTTTTTTTGGAGAGATTTTCGCTATAGGGCACATGCGCTCACCAGACAGACAGAGACATTAGAGACAGAAAGCGAGAAATCACCCCCTAAGGGAGGTCACCCCACAATCCCTTCTTCTCCATTCTCCTCTCGGGATCTTGGGCACGCACGCACACGCAGCCAGCATGAGTTTTAAGCCACCGGGATGCGAACTGCGGTAAACTACGTGGGAGTCCAGTGACATAGCCATTACGCTAACTGCTGGTTCCCTAGAGCATCTCTTAATTGCATCATTTTCTCTTGTTCCTGCTTTAATATCAAGTCATTTTGTTCATTGGGGCTCTTCCAGTGGACAGGATGTAGAGGTGGAAGACAGTGATATTGGTGATCCTGACTCTGTGTAAGCCTGGGCTAATATATGCGTTTACGTCTGTTTTTCTTTTTTTTTAAGCTTAAAATAATAAATAGGAACATGCTTATAGAATAAGGATATAAGGGGGGACCAGCAGTTGGCGTTATGACTGGACTCCCATGTGGTCAACTGCAGTTTGAGTCCTGGACCCGGTGGCTTAAACTCACGCTGGGTGCGTGTGCATGTGTGCCCAAGATCCCAAGAGGAGGATGGAGGAGAGGGGATTGCGATGTAGCCATCCCCCTCAGGGGATGATTTCTCGCTTTCTGTCTCTCTGTCTTTCTGGTGAGTGCATGCACCCTATAGCAAAAACCTCTTTAAAACAAAAAGAAAGAAAACTAAATTTAGGACATTTTGATGCATTCACACACTTAGAAAAAGTACCAACTGTGAAATAGTGACCTATTTCAAAGATAGGTCATTGTGGACCATTCTGCTCCACAAACAAAAATATGTTATCTGAAACCAACAGCCTTTAAAAAATATCATCAGATTAATTTAATCTGAAAAAGCAACTGAGGCATTATCTGTACCTTTATCTATGAGGCATCTTCTTTACTGCATTATCCTATAAAGATTTATTATTTCCTTTGCTTCATTCTTCCAGTCAAAAATCTTCATAAAATTTGTATGGTTCTGGGCACTGACAAAAAAAAATCTGTATATTAGAGAAAGATCTTGGATTCATGAAACTTGATGTTATGGAAAAACGGAGACAATAAACAAGTGAATAAATACAATTTCACGTGAAGGTAAGCAATATTGAACAACAACCAAAAAAAAAATCAGTAAACTATAAGCTAATTACTGGTGTCAGGAGTACTCTTAGCTTGTGTGGTCTGGAGAGCTTTTCCTGGAATGTAATATTTGAGCAGAGACTTGAGTACCAAGGAAAGGATTCTGACTACTCTTCCTTCTTATGGTTCTTTCCAAACGACAAACATCAGTCTTGCTGTAATAGGTCACTGTCATCCAGTGATTGTGGGCTGCTCCTTACATCCTGATCCTGCATGGCATAAGACAAACATCTTAGGCTGTCGAGACAGTCATGATGTATTTTTCTATGAAAAAATGCATCACAGCTTTCCCGATGTCCCAATATAAAAAAGCCTTCTTTTAAAAATATTTATTTTATTTTATTTTTTATTATTCTAAAATTTGACCAGAGAGAGAAAGGGAAGGTGAGAAAGCAAGTCATCAGGTCCGGAACTCAAACTGCCACCAGCCATATGGGAGTCAACGCCTTAACCACCATGCCACCTGCCAGCCACAAGAGTAAAGCCTTCTATCTATGTTATATTCAGGCATTCTTTTCTGTTGACTCTGAGTCTTTTGGAGACAGACTTGTGCTTTTAACCAGTTACTAACATAAGAATTTCAAAACCCACCTGTAGTCTCTAAGTCCCTACCTTCAGGTGTCCCACCTTTTGGGGACGGACCAATGTAAAAGCCCCATATGTTGATTTACAATTTTGATTGTGCCACCTGCTCTGAGAACCTAATGAAAGAACCATTGCACCAAAGCACTTGGAAACACTTTCTCTGGGCTACTAGGGATTATGTTTCCAGGTGGTGTCCATCATATTTATATTGAGAATAAACCCTTTTAATTATTATACAGAGCCTGGTCATTTCTGATGACAGAGTGTAAGCCACGCTAATATGAAAAGAGAAGGCGAAGCGAAAGTACACATACATACACTTAGTGGAAGTGAGATCAAGACCAGTGAGCATTACACAAGGGAGGCGAAAACGACAGCAGGAAGAGGTGAGGGAGGTAAGGAGCAGTCAAATCAGGTGGCACTTTGAAAACCAAATTAAGGACTTGGAATTTTATTGCTTGACTACAGATATTTGTGGTTTTAAGCAAGAAATGACATGATCTTACTTGCTCTCTTTCAATCGAAGTTCTCCTACATTCAATTTAACAAGTTCATGGTTCTCTTTAAAGGCCCAGCTCAATTATCACACGTATTGTCAAGCCTTCCATCATGTTGGGTCATGTCCGTGGCCCTAGGTAACCAGCTTTCCTCAGGTGACTTCTTCCCTTTGGTTTAATTCCAATCTAAGGCAAGTCTTGAACACTGTCTTATGCTGTTTATTCTGGCAGCCTCTTACAAGACAGACAGTGGGAGCAGTGGCATGGCCGCACACAGCTGAGGGGGCCATGGTCCTGAAATTGGGAAGGAGCCATCTGGAAACCGTCTTCAGAGTAGAGATCCTTTCCCTTTTCTGATTTTTTAAAAAAACAATTTTATTTCTTGAGAGAGAGATCTTCACGACAGGATCTCCGAACACTGAGAGCCCGTTTCCTCGACCCTTTAGCCAATCAGCATCTTGGACTCTGGCACACCTGGCCTGTTTGTACTCAGGGTCAGAAGGAAGTCTGCCCAAGTGCGTTCCAGCACTGCAGATCAGTGCCCACCGCCTGTGCCACTGTAGGTGTGCTCCTCCCTCTTCCTCTTACCTGTATTCAGTCGGGCTAAATGACCAGGTGTTACATCCGCAAGGCGACTTTAAAGCTGTTTTCGTAAGGGTGAACTTGGTTTTAAAGTTCACGGAGGTTGCAAATGTGTGGAGCAGGCCTTGTCTCTCCGAAACCCTTGGACTGGTGTTGGAAGGCCTCAGGCCAGCCTATGCCATGCGGCCAGTGACGTGTTGTATAGGCCCAGCCACATGCCCCAGTGGGCTTTTTTTTTTTTTTCTTTTTGGAGTTTTTTATTTTTCCTCTCTCTATAGTGTGCTTGTGCTGACCAGAAGGACAGAGACAGAGAGACAGAAAGCGAGAAATCACCCCCCAGGGGCATGGCCACGCTGCAGTCCCTTCTTCATTCTCCTCTCGGGATCTCGGGCACGCATGCACATGCGCCCTGAGTGAGTTAATGCCACCGGGTCCAGGGCCCGAACTGTGGTCGACTACATGGGAGTCCAGCGACAAAGCCATTACGCCAACTGCTGGTCCCCGGGGTGGGTTTTACCGGAGAGCCAGGTGGGTTTCTGGGCCAACTGGAACCCACCCGGCAGGTTGCCCATGTCTGTAATACTACTTAACTGGGCGGCTGAGGCAAAAGGTTCAGGTCGAGGCAAGATCTTGTCAAAAATAACTATTGCTACTCTTTACCTTCTCCCTCTCTCTTGCAAACGAAAATCTAATGAAGTCTAATAGAAACCAGAAAGACGCGGCCCTCTCCCTCAGTCCTAAGGACCTCCTCTTGCCCTCCTCAGCATCGGGACTAGCTGCTGCCCGGGGTAAGCTGGCGTCCTCGGCCCGGCCTGTCTTCCAGGCTTGTCAGCTCCGTTACTGAAGACGCAGCCCACAGCGTGAACGGGGGCTGCTCTCGGGCTGTGCCCCCGATCAACTGCGCCAAGATCGTTAGACTGGACCGAGGAACTGCCGGGGTCTTTCCAGCCCCCCGAGTCAATGCCGACGCAGGGCCCGGCGCTGGCCCAGCGGGTCCCCGGGGCCGGGCCCGTCCTCTAGCTGCGCCTCCGGCTGAACCCAGCAGGCGGGCGCGG